ACTAGATAAGCCACAAAACTTTATAATCACATTCGTGGATCCAGAATTCTAAACGTCGTCACCGCCACTGTATCGCTTGCTGAGAGTCGAACCCTTGCGATCATAAGTAAATGAAGATGCCTAGATAGTGGATAGAAAGTTCAAGATGGTGGCCTTCTGTTTAGTTACAATATCCTTTCTTTTGACCTTGTTGCGCAACTTAGTTGTGTATTCAGGTGAAGTTCAAAGAACCTACTGTGTTCTTTTTCCTCCGCCATTGTCAGGTCTGCTCATCCAGCGTCGACTGAATGCATTCCCAGATATTTCGCCAGTATCTTAGTCGGCATCGTCAGTGATGAATGCCGTACCAAGCACCGAGCTACAGTGCGTCAGTGTCCACTGTAGCCATTGTCCTCCCCTCAACGATAGCCCATAGCGCTGTCTCCTCATTACACAATCTCAAATCATATGGCCAATTCCATTATCATTATAACCTCGTTTTTTCCAAAATGCCCCAAATGTGTGTCCTCTGAAGTAAAGCGCAATCGCGCTCACCACCGGTCTGGCACTTCGAGTGAAGATCCTTATGACCCATTTAACCCACTCTCGTCAGCTAGTCTTAGTTAAATGGCTAGGCATAAGGTGCTGATTTTGCGACAATGATATAACTAGCCCTCACATTTCCATTGGATTTCGTCCAGCCTTGCTTTTCAAAAGGTATTCTCATCCAGACCGGATTGCAGTTTCGACATCGCCTGGGTATAATCAGGGCCCATAACGGGAATAAAGGCTAGTACTAAACAAAAAGTCAACTCATTATTGGTTAATTGTTTCGTTTCCGTTACAAGAAATGAGATAGCCTAATTATAATTTCTTTTTTTTAATGAAACTCACATAAAAAGGATCTTCGAAAAAACTAACTACAATCACTAACATGAGATGTATTCACCCTATTTTGTTTAAGGTGATAAAAGACTGGTAGTAGAATTTGCCCCCAATGATATGAGTAAAGCTGAAGTTTCCATTGAATTTTACATAGCCTTGCTTTTCCAAAAGTTGTTCTCATTCAGGCACCAGTAGACTGCATTTTCAACCTCGCGTCAGTCTTATCAACACCCTCAGCGGGAGTCGAACCATGACAGCTTGACACGTTAACCACTCGGCCACATTGCCACGAGTGCCCTTGGATCACAGGGAAGATGTGAATTTCAAGGAAGGTCAGGTCTTTTGCCATATCCCATTCTTTGGTGGGATTGTTGATTAATCAATCGACTACGTTACTCATCTTTCGTATGTAAGTCGAGTTTCGAGACTATCAGTAAATCAGCTATATGAGATATGTCAGTCCTTTATCCACTTAAACGAAATGGGGTGAATACATCTCATATTACTGATTTACTGGTCGTCTCGAAACTCTACTTACATACGAAAAATAACTACAATCAGTTTGAGTGGCCTCACAAAACAAGATTTTTTTAGGTTTTTAAATTCAAATATTAAAATTTAATTAAGGATTCCGAGTTTTTATTTACTTGAAACTCAAAACGTTCTGGAAAAAATTCCACAAAAGCTAGCCAGCTCCTTCGAATTGAGATGAATTTGATCTCAAATTAATTAATGCTCCTGTTTGGCAGAATTTCAGAAAAGTAACCTCAAATTTAAGATGCTTTACCAGGGGCATGCCATTTTTCCTGATCTTCACGTATGTAAAAAACCTTAAATAAACACAAAAAGCTAAGAAAATTATAATTCACTGTCTAGATCGAGTTTTGTATTTAATTAAATAGGTGTAAAGCAAGCAATTAAGTATGCCCTTACCTGAAGAAAGCATTCTTCTGGCTCAGTTAAAATGCTTTCAAAAGCACCTTTTTAAAAAATCTTTGTTCATGGAGTCGACAAGAATATTAAAGAACAAGAAAATTTAGACAATAAATAATTATAGAGAGAGTAGGAATAATAATAAATTACTAAGGTAATCGGATCGTATAGCCACCAAACAAGTAACATAAATTTATGGCGTGCGAGGAAGACTCTTAATTATCTTGGGAATATTAATATTAAAATAAATAGGTCTAAATCAGAAGACAAAAAACTAAGGCACTTGAAAGGGAACTTCGTTAAAATAAGCCCTTTTAAAGAATTCATAACGCTATAGGTAGACAAACCTGATCCATATCTAGCCGCATCTGTGAGAGCGGAGGTGCTGGCCCAGGCTCTATTGGAACTAGGAAAGCAAGGTCGAAGTCCTTTGCAGATCCAGACATTTTCATTTCTGACTGATGGTGGGCTTGCCAAGGAAGCGAATGGTAAGAGCTGATGAGGGCTTTCTGTTGTGGGTTGGCAAGGAATAGTAGAAGTGAGAGAGGCCGACTGAGACTTGGTGGCAGCGAGCTCTTGAATAGCCTGGTGCAATTGAGCAGCCAGATTATCAATTCGCAAAAGACTGCTGGTTTGTAGAGCTTCAAGCTCTTTATGGTGTAGCTCTTCACTTTTAGACATATTAGCGCGCAAATCCTTAAACACAAAGGGATAAAATATTAGAGTAGCTGATTATGAAGGAGCTCTAGTCATTAAATTGCTCGATGGTAAGACATTTCAAATTAACAAGGCTATCAACTATAGAATTATGTTGATAAATTATGATGGAGCAGCAATCCAATTCTATAAGTGTATATATATATTAGTCTGTTACCGGATTAGCTGAATTTAAAGGGTAGAAATGCTGAATAGGTGTGCTAATATAGGATATATATTTAGAAAGTGAAATTTGGAACTTTGCAGAAGCAGCCCACTCAGAATGTACTACATAACGAAAGTAGGAGCAAGTTCCTTGCTAGCATGAGGAGCCATCAGTGCGCAAAATAGTTCCATGAGATACACGATAGCCAAAGACGACGAAAGCCTGGAAATAATACTGGAGATTTCTCAAAAAGATGCAAAATGTACAATCTACTCTCTCATCTCAATCTAACATCTAGTAAATTTAATGACGCACTGAGTATAAAGACCTTCAAATTCGATTATAACAGACAGTAGAACAAAAGGAAATAATTGCATATTATACCAATAGTTATCTGCGTAAAAGTCTAAAGATAAGCCTATCGAAAAATATTTCTTAATAGCTTGCCAATGTCATTCGTTAGAGC